CTAGTTTGGTTTATGAGAAATTTTTCGCATTTATAAATTTTCTACCCTGCAAGTGTTCATGGTTTTCTTTATCTGTACTTTTGTAGGCTGAGATTTAGGTTTGTTTGAGCCCATGATTGACCCGTTCACTTGATCTCTTCCATCATCTACTTCACTGCATTGACAGTAACCCTTTCATCTTCTCTTGTGTTACATGTAACCTTTTATATCCAATAGACATTTACTGATGTGATGAGTCTGTTTCGTCTTGTGTTCTTTTGTTCCATCGCCATTTGTTTCTTTCTTTCTGGTAGTAGGCTCCTCTGATTTCTTTCCTGAATAAACTGCAATTATTTCATCACCTTATTCTGGATAAAGGTCGCTATCAAGTGTCGAATACGCGGAGAAAGCTGCATTGCATAAGCGTTCCATGTGGTCAAGTTTAGCTGTTAATGTACTTCTGGGAAACTTGTTTGGTTTGGTACTGTTGTATCATGCAGAATCTGCTTGCATATGGATCTTGAAATTTTCCAGTGACATTACAAATGAGTTATTGCGCTCAGGCTGTGTGTGGTTGATGGGGGTACCTGCAGGTTTTAAGTTAAAACAATGAATTGGCAGAAGTTCTTGGGATGATTTCTCTAACTGCTATCCAGATTTGGTCTCCCATTTGGATCATTTTGGGGTCCCACTTTCTTTATTTCATTAGAGGACTTGCTATATCAGGAATCATTTTTGGGGTGACTATACCTGCTGCTTTGATAATCGACTTGATTGCACTAGCAACTTTGCATGTGTCTACTCATTGGTTGATACCGCTTTTATATTCAACTCAGATACAGGCATTAGCAGCTCTGTGGCGCCTTTTCAGGTATTACTTTGTGATGTCATGTTCTTTCTTTTTCAGTTTTTAAAACTTCAACATGACACCAACTGCAGTAACTAAATACAAACGTTTTTACTTTGGTTATTGTATTCTTGCGATAGGGTCATATTTCAAACCAACCTATTTTCTATCCCGTTACATGTCATGTGTTTATTCAGCACCTGTTGATTGGAGTTGTAGGTCTGTAATACATAGTTCTTCAGTCAAATTATACCTGTAGTTCCTGCAGTTTAGCCCATTTTCCAATTCCCTGTAATTTAAATATCTTTTAATTGTACCCTAGTATTTTTTATTACATTTGAAATCCAGGACAAAACATCAACTCTGTCTGGCAACGTGAATATTATATGATAGGTATGTACAGAGACATCTACCTCCTTCCCACATCATCGCTCGGTTAATTTATTAAATGAAGTTGTTTTGTTCTAAATTGCAAATGTAACAAAGGGACAGGCGTGAAATTGAAAAGATTTAGAAGCACTGGGATTTATGTCGAAATCAGGCTAAACTACAGGGGAATTGTGACTTGACTGGTTCTGTCAGAACATCTCCGCCAGTTGGTGGAGGGCAGTGGCAATTGAGGGCAACGGCAATAAAAAAATGCCTTCACTACTCTAAATACTATGTGCATGTGGGTTTACTATGTGCATGTGGGCATACATACTCATTATTTACAACACTCCCCCTTGGATGCCCACATAAGTCCTCAATTGACTTGTTAAGATCTTGATCTGTTTTGGATGCTCCCCCTGATGAGTATCTCCCCCTGATCTTAAAACATTTAGGCTGATCGTTGATCATTCTGCTTCAGTCTCTTAGCAAAAAGAGTTGTCGAAAAAGATGCTTTACTTGTTGTTAACTTTCCACAGGCTTGTTCTTGAACTGGGTTAGAGGGCCTTCTGCTAGACTTACTTCAAAAGTTTGAATTTACTCATTTTATCTGGAGCAGAATTTGATTCAAAGGTGGTGGACACTTGATATTGAATTGAACTTATGATTTCTTCAAGGACCTTCGAGACTTGATCTTGAATGAAGTTGTATCGTGAAGAGCTTCGCGTGGCAAGTGATCTTCGACTTTGTCAGGGATGAATCAACACATGTTTGTTGCGCTTGTCTTCACATGCTTCAATGTATCATTTTCACTTGCCTTACTTGCTCCCCTTACTTAAGTAGTATTTTCCCTGCTTTTCCCCCATACATGTGTGGCATCTTCTCCTGCAGTATTTGCCGTTTGACGCAGGAGTGGAATGCAACCCTTGCATTTGGATGGTTTATCACTTCTTGGTGACTGGAGACCCAGCTCCAACAACAGTTGAAGATGGCCACTCGAGAGCAATACTAGGTAAGTAATCAGGAAAGGTTCCAGTTGGTTCCTTACTGGGAGTTTGAGTGGAGGTTCCGACATATTGCTTTCTTTATCCTTGTCTTTGCAAGTAAGAACAAGGACAAAAGAAATGACAGGGAGATTGCATGATATGAGAGACTCTTGCTCTCGTCGCTGAAGATATGAGATAATCTTGCTCTGATGTGACTTGTTTAAAGAGGTATTCTCGGAGAGAAAGAAAACTGAGTATTTCGATATGTTTTGTTGAAGATGCATTCCTGGAGATGAGGAAGAGTTAGGTATTCTTGGAGAGTTGCAGGTTTGCCTTGTTATGGAGAACAAAGGTCGACATATATAGAGATTTCCCAATAGCAAGTGATGGTGCTGTGCCTTTACTCTTGTCAGCAACTGTGGTGTAATTAGAATAGTAAGATTTACGCGTTTTTAACTTTGTCAAAGATTTTTGACAAAGTTACGCGATAGTAGAAAAAGCTCAGATTGCGTCTGAAAAATGTCAACAAACTTAATTTAGGAAAATCTGGCTTTTGAAATTTGGAGAGCGATGCCTCTTCGATCTCTGAAAGAGTGGCTCTGTTGCCTCTTTTTTTATAGAGACATCAATTGTGTTCAAGAGTATACTCAGAAAGTTGCTCCATGTAGAAATTTCCCCTTTCTTACACTTCTGAAATTTTATTTGACTTCTTTTTTCCTTCATCATTTCTGAAAATGACTTGCCCATCTAACATTTGCTTAGATTTGAGTCTTAGAAGTGATACAGACGAGCAGCGTCAGGATAATATATGGCGTCCGTCCTTCTTATCTTCTAATGATCATTTTACTGTTGGGGACTCTGTGATGAAGAATAACATAACTGCTACTGTGGTAGCTAGGAATCTTCTCACTCCAAAGGATAACATGATCCTTTCAAAACGGTCTGATGAGTTGGCCGTTCAAGACTCATTGGCTCTCAGTGTTCAATATGCAGGCTTTGTATCCAATATGGGCCAACACCTACTTGCTCAAACTTGCCAAGTTGAATCATTGATGGTTGAGGTGACAAGTCTTAAACAAGAAATCAGAGAGCTCAAGCACGAGAATAGAGTGTAACACGTGTTTGCAAATAATTACTCTACGAGTATGAAAAGAAAGCTCGACCAACTGCAAGAATCCGAAACTCAGATTCAAGGTGATCACCAAAGGTTCGTTGCTAGATTTCGAAAGCAACTGATGCCTTCCCTTTCTGGTGTTTTGTCAAATACTGGGGTGCCACATGATCAATCTCCAGTGCCTTCTCATTATGGGATACTTCAGAGTATTGAGGCTTCACATGATCAACATTTGTGAAGGCTCCATCTTGTTTGTTTGTTTTAACTCATGTGTATGCACATATCTGTAATTTCTCGAAGGTATTAATAGATAAGCTCTATTTCATTCAGTGTATTGTGCCAAATACAATAAAGCATATACTTTACTAAGATGTGGTACTTCTGGACCAAACATTAATTTATCTTTACCCTTACGAAGATAAATGATTATTCTTAGTGTATACATCATTTGAGTATTCAACTCATAATCTTCAATCCATATGGTTATTTTAATATCATAAATATCATGAATAATATTCGTGTTGGTAGATTGTTCGATCTGCAGCTCGAGACAATAATTCTCTCAACACTTTATAATTTTTCTAGACTCTTCAGGAGTCCCAATTTAATATTATCAACTCTTCAAGAGTTCTAATTTAATATCATCAACCTTTTGTAAGATGTTTTAGTGTGTTGCAATAATATCATAATGATAGTACTCACTAAGGAAATTTATATCATCTATTGGTATTGAGTACATATTTTATTCTTTACCCTTCGGGGGCTTATTTCAAGCAATTTGAATCCTTCAAGGATTTTATACACTTCATGACACATTTTCTTTTGGAATTTATACAGAGCAATTTGCTCTCATTTATACTTGAGGGATTTACTTATGGAGATATGATGTGGGCGACTCATAACCCTTCGTATATAATTATCCATTTATATGAACTTGTTTACAAGAGTATAATTTCAGATTTCAATTAGTAACCTTGTGTCATATCATGTGAGTGTATTACACTGAATTACAAGTGCCCATATGTAACCTCCTTGGTTCAACATCTTTTGGCTATTTGTATTGTATTCAAATATATAGGTTTATCCACGTTCTTACAAAATTGTAATGGAATTGTCTTTCTCCATTTTTGGCCAATAATTTTCCTTTTGTCGAAGAACAAAAGAACGTGAGTCAATATTAACACAGCTCATTGATGAATTTAGTAGCTACTTGTAAAAACCAAAATTACCATTGGTTATCATCAGTGGCGAAGCCAGGAATTGACAGGGGGAGGGGCGAAGTTAAAAGAGTGCAAGGTTCAAAAGAATAGCAACAACCAAATCATTTTATATAGTAATGTCTTCCATAATTTATCAACATAAACAAATTACAATTGTTGCCGATGACGTTTCATACCATGAAAACATCGCATAATAGGCTCATTATCAATAAAAGCAAATACATCTCTCTCTATGTAAATAAGCATGCTATCACTCAACCATTGATCTCCCATTTTGTTACGCAATGGTGTTTTCACAATCTTCATAGCAAAAAAAGCTCTCTCCACCGAAGCGGTTGCAACCGGTAACACCAAAGCCAATGTAAGAAGCTTATACACTAATATGTAGCTTGCACACCTCCCAGTCTTCACCAACTCCTTTGCAAGATCACCAATTCCTCTCAATGATGAAAACTCACTATGCATCTTCATATCGTGAATGTAACTGTCAAGTTGAATTGGAAGATTCATGAGGTCCATACGATCAAAATCTTGAGGATAAAGTTGAGCTAGACGAACAATTTTTTGCTTTGTCAAAAGATGCAAAATTATTCACCGGACTCAAACATGCCATACAAAGAAGCAACTCGGTGTTTACCTCATTGAAGCGATCATTCAATTCCTTTAATTGTGTATCAAGGACTTGAAAATAGAGGTCCACACGATAGTAATGGAAGTTTGTGAGTCTTGGAGCTTTACACCTTGATTTTCCAGGTACAAAATGCAAATCCTCCATGTTAGGAACGACAATATCATGCTCTTGACAAAACTTTTGTACATCATTAAGCAAGTCCCCAAAGTCATCATCTCTCAAGGATTGTAGTCTTTGCTTGCATACTTCCACTAACGCCATTGCATTCACAATATCTTGATATTTCTTTTGTAATGCTTGTGATAACTCATTTGTAACTCCCAATATGAGTCTCATAAAAAAAAGGTGAAACACAAAATCAAAAGTTTGTATGTTATGGAATAAATGACTTGTTTCACCAAAATTGTCTTGGTTGGTATCATCTTTAATCCATTCAAGCACCTCCACCACGGCTTCAAACATGACAATAATACTAACTATAGTACCATAATGTGAGTTCCAACGTGTATCACAAGGACGCATGAGACTATTCTCTTGATTTAACCCTATACCCGTTTCAAGATCACCAATATCAAGAGCTTTCTTAATTTGTTCTTGTTGTATCTCTCTAAATGCATCACGACGCTTACACGATGATCCAATTGTATTGACCAAAATACTAGCATTGTTGAAGAAAATGGCGACACCCCCTCAATTCCCTTTGTAACGGCTACAAGAGCTAGTTGAAGTTGGTGTGCAAAACAATGAACATAAAATGCTTGAGGATATTTGTTTAAAATCTTTGTTTTAAGACCATTTAGCTCACCTTTCATATTACTAGCTCCATCATAGCTCTGTCCTCGTAACTTGGACATACTCAAATTTGTTGTAGCAAAGAATCTCTCAATAGCCTCTTCAAGCGAGCTACTAGTTGTAGAGAAGACATGTTGCACACCCAAAAACTTTTCAATTGCTTCTCCTTTTTTGTTCACATAACGCAATACCACCGCCATTTGCTCTTTAGTTGAAGAGTCACGTGATCCATCAACCAAAAGAGAAAAAAATTCACCTTCCATATCTTTAGTGATTGCATTTATAGTTTCAATGGCACAAGCACGGACAAGATCTTTTTGAATATCAGAAGAAGTATACTTAAGATTCTTGGGAGCATTCTCAAACACAACCTTCCTAACTTGCTCATTATGCTTGGAAAGAAAGTGCATAAGCTCCAAATCATTACCTCTATTGCTTGATTTCAACGATTCATCGTGACCACGAAAAGGCAAACCTTGTCCCAACAACCATCTTGTGCACTCAAGTGAGGCACTCAATAAAGTATGATAATTATTGCGAGCTTCATCGGTTTGCTTAATCACAAATGTTTCAATGTGTTGTTTTTGTGTCATCAAATCTCTAGCTTGTTGTACAGCTTTATTATGAAGACTTCCAACACCTCCCTCATGGGCTCGAAGATTTTCGGGTCCTTTCCTCCAATTTGTAAACCCTTTCTCAGTGAAGACATCATTTCCAGTGCCACCCATTTGATCAAAATCACATTTGAAAAGATAGCGATAACGACAAAATGCAGCATCCTTTGATATACTATACTCCAACCACTTAAACCTATCAAACCAACCGGTGATAAAACATCTTTTGTTGCTAACTTTTCTTGGCATAATGTGGTCTCTAGGTTGACAAGGATCATTTTGAAGATAGTGTCTACGAATTGCTTCACGATAATTAGGTGGATAATCAAGCATTCGACGTCTATATCCAGGGTCTGCATGAAGATTAGCCAATATCTCATCCAACTCAGTGGGCTCACTTTGTTGTGAACTACTCAGAATATTCAAAGGAGGACTTCTTATATTTGAAGGAGGAGGAGGATGACTACTTGGAATATTTGAAGGAGAAGGACTACCCGAAATGTTTGAAGGAGGATTTAAGCATTGTTTCTTATAGTACCGTTCCATTACGTAACTGTAAAATGGAAAGAAAAAAAAATCTTAGACTCTTAATCCTATAGTCTATACTAATATGCATAATAACCCAACCAACAATTCAATTAATCAATACCAATAAGCATATAAATTATTAAATAAATAAAAAATTCATTCAACTAATCATATGAATACAACTAATCAAAAATTCAAATTTTAATTTTCACCCTAAAAAATAATTTCATAATTTCATATCAATCAATAATCATAGAATCATATCAATAATCAATAATCAATAACCATACTAGTGCATTACCATATGATTCTATACTAATTAAACAAAATTCGTATTAAATAATTAATTAGGGTTAGGGATTATAAATTTAGGAATTAAAAAATTTACCTTTGAAATTGAAGGCTAGAAGTCGGCTTAGCGGCTGGAGTGGCTAGTGTTAGCAGTAAAAAGCCAACAGAAATCAGCCAATGGGGATTTATTTTCCGTTCCGTTGGGGTTGGGCGTTGGCTGCAGGCTCAGGCTGTTGAGATTTTGGGAGTAGCTTTGCACTCTCTCTCTCTAATTGGGGAAGGGAGAAATTTGGAATGGTAAAGCATGCGGGCTGACTAAGTGAAGGAATGAGGGACATGCGGTCCCCCCAATACATTATACATATATATTTTTTTGTTTTTTTTCAAACATTGAAAGTTTCACGTGGAGGGGCACTAATTTGAAAGACATGGAGGGGCTAACTTTGGAACATGTGGGCCAGATTTTAATTTTTTTATTAATTTAAAAGGAAAAAAAAGAACCCAGTGCTGCTGCACGCAGCAGCAAAACCAGTTCACCGGTGCCAAAATAGAGATGGAGGGGCTGGGTTTTCCGGTGAGGGGAGGGGCGAAACCTCGGCTTCCGACGAGGGGAGGGGCGGTCGCCACTCCTCGTCCTCACGTGGCTTCGCCACTGGTTATCATCAATTCGTGATCCCATATTCTCATGTGCATGCGCATGCATAAAAGCTTTTCATTTATTTGGATATCCATTGCCTCTTTAAGGGCGTAACACTATCTCTTCCAGGATAGTCATAATTTAGAGAATGCAGATTATAACCTTCTTTGAGCGTTATAGAGCTTGGATTTTAATCTTCACTTTCGAGAGTTGAGTCATTGGAACCTATATGTCTATCATGCTCCATGCATGAGACATCAACATTCCCATGTCTGCGGATTGTCCTTTCTGGGACATATTTTCATGCGGCGACTGCATGCTTCTAGCATGCAACAGTTATGCTTCGGGAATGCAATAGTTTAGTAGTGCCATATTCTTCTTCTTTCGAATGAATGAACTTTTTGAGTCTAAAGGTCTGCCATGCTTCAGGCGTGCAACAGATAAATCATTTACTGCATCATAATTTTGTCCAACAGGGACATCAGTTCTTATAGGCACATTTGCAGCAAGTGTATGATTTCATCACTTTTGTTGCATCATTCAATTATTCTTACTTCATTTTCTCATTGATTGCTTCATGAATCATAAGACAAATTCTCTTTGTTCTTATGGAACAGTCTTTTCTCATCATTCTTCTGGAATGATATTTTATCATCGTTCTTCTGGAACGATATTTTTCTCTCCCTAACGGCGGGAAAATTGTCTTATCAAAATCATAGCCCGCAAACCATGCGGTAAACGTATCCCCAGTCAAGGGTTCTAGGTATTGAATGATAAATGGTGAATCAAATCCAACATAAATTCCCAGTTTGTGTTAATGCTTCATTTAATATATTTTGGCTGTGCAATAGGCACATAGATAACACAGCCAAAACCTCGTAAAAGTATAATGCTTGGCTGGTTCCCAAACACGAGTTGTACTGAGAAGTATTGATGGTGGGTAACATGTCTCAACCGAATTAATAATGCATCATGTAAAGTTTACATGTCTCCATGTAGAAAACTGGCAATTTCGTTTTTATGAGTAGAGCGCGGGAAATCAATTTCATCATTTTAATAAATGCTTCTGCTAAACCATTTTGAGTATGGACATAAGGAACTTCTGGTCTTTATTAAATAGTCTGTAGACTGAGACTCTTATGACTTTTATTACAATTAAGTTGAGGCACTGCGGCACTTCAAACTTACGATACTCATCAAGGAATTTCATGTCTTGATCTTCAGGATCAAGGAACTTCATACCTGATCTTTTTGCGTGATGGAACTTCCAATCATTTTATACGATGAGGATCAAGAAACTTCAGGTTCTGATTTGATCAAAGAAGTTTGGGCCCTATATATACTTATCGTAACAAAAGGTAAGTACAATAAATAAATTAAAGCAATAAGCGGTAATTCTAATCATAGTAAATAAATTGTATTTAAGTAAATAAAGCTTGTGACAAGGGCTTTAATTCAACACCATTCACATAAATCAAAACTTAAAGCAGTAGGCGGTAAAACCGTCAATGATAAATAAATTGCTTTAAAGTAAATAAAGCTTGTGACAAGGGCTTTGATTCAGCACCATTCACATAAATATCAAAGCTTTAAAGCAAAGGGTAATAATTCTACCCAATGTAAATAAATTGCTTTAAATAAATAGAACCTGTGACATGGGCTTTAAATCAACACCATGCACATAAATATCAAAGCTTTAAAGCAAAGGGTAATAATTCTACTCATTGTAAATAAATTGCTTTAAATAAATAGAACTTGTGTCATGGACTTTAAACCAACACCATGTACATAAATATGCCAAAACAGAAAATGCAATGATTAAGTCCTCATCTTTTTCTTTTTCTTTTTCTTGGTCTGCTACTTCTTTTGTTTGATTCCTTTTATTTTTATTTTTATTTCACAATTTTGAAGTCATTTTGGTTACTCAGGAAATAATAGTAATAATAGATTCCAATTGGTGTTCCTCCTCCGGTGAGTTTCTAAAAAGTCGAAACGGTTCCCATAAGTTTTGGAGTCAAGAATATCTGCAACTTATGAGAAGATCAAACCGTTAGATTTAGCTCAAATTTTAGTATGATATGGATAAGAGGATACTGAACAACTTTTGTGAAGAAACAATTTCGATCTGAGCTACTGAAATGGAGTTTTGGTACTCATAAGGTGGCTGTCCAGTTTTCTGCGGAAATTGAAAACTGATTTGGTATTTCAGACATCTGCGACGATCGTACCGTTAAAGTTTTCTGAAATTTTGATATGTTGTAGATATTGAGTGGACGAACAACTTTTAAGAAGAAAGTATTTCAATCCGAGATCCGCAAGTTGGAGTTCCGAGGCTGTTTACATGGCTGTCAGATTCTCTACGAATTTTGAGTCTGTACTCTTTTGCTTCTGCAAATGATGATATAGTTATACAACAATATATATAGTTGCTTCAAGAAAATCAATTGTACTGAGATTTGAAGATGAAATGAAAAGATTTTCTTATCTGTGAGATTCTAGTTGAAGGAGGTGAACAAGATTTGTGGCGTTGTACTTTCCACTGACATGAGAGCTTCTCGTGCTGATAACGTGTTGTAAAATCGACAGTGTGTGTAGTGGAATAAAAGAAACAAGACACAAAATTTACGAGGTTCCTCTACAGTCAGTGTGATTGGAGTACGTCCTCGGGGCAGCAGTGGTGCTTTCATTATAATCTGAAATAATAAAAGTACAAAGATAACTCTCTCTATTATCTCCTCTCCTCTTCTTCTCTTTTCTCTCTTCCTTTCTTCCTTCCTATCTCTCCCACGAACCTCTCAATTTCATCTCCAATTCTTCCTTTTTTATCACCCCTTTTGAACACTTGTAATGCTCTATTTATAGAGCAAACAAAACACTATTAAACTTGGGGTT